TAGTGAAAATACAGATGTCCAATGTGCCACCCAGACACGCGGGGACACACACATGGAGTCATGTGGGGGTGACGAGAGACACAAGACGGTGCCTTCCCAGCTCCTTCCGTCCCCCTGAAGGAACTCATCCTTTTCTTTGAGGTGTGTCCACCCAGTGGCCCTCAAGGACCTCTGGCCAGTCCGCCTCAGTGGACTTCCCGTGAATGTCATCTCAGCACACCTACATTTCCGTGACTTGCTCTGCTGTCCATTTTGCTGTCTGTGACTGACCTGCATCTGTCCATCCTTCGGCGGATGGGCCTGCCCTTGGCTCACGGTCTTTGTTGGAATGTTCTCGTGCCCCGTCCTGGAGTGCTCTGTCGGAGCTCCTCTAGCAGAACACACGCGACCCGGCGTGGAATTCACAGGCCACAGGGCATGCGCGTGTGCAAGTTTTCTAGAAAAATATCTGTTTGCGTTCTAAGGACAGTGGCCACGTGCGCAGCTTCCAGCACAGAGGACCTCGTTTTCAGCAGCACTTGAACGTTATCAGAATATTAATTCAAAATTTTGTCTTTCTGAAATTGAAACTAGCACCCTGCAGTTCCCTGGTTAACAACGTCATTTGTCTTTCTGTGTTTCTAGGGGACCTACGTTTCCTATGTGCCTTTGGCCTACTTTCTGTCTTCTTATTGATTTGTTATTGATTGATCTGTCTTCTTATTGATTTCTAGGAGTTCTTTACATGTTATACCTACTACTCCTTTGGTCATTCATATTGCAAACATCTTCCCCCAAGTTCATGGCTTCCCTTTCAGTTTTGTTTTGTTTTATTTTTATTATTTTGGGGGGATACTGGGGATTGAACTCAGGGGCCCTCAACCACTGAGCCCTGTCCCCAGCTCTATTTTGGATTTTATTTAGAGACAGGGTCTCCCTGAGTTGCTTAGGGCCTCACTGTGGCTGAGGCTGGCTTTGAACTTGCAATCCTCCTGCCTCAGCCTCCCGAGCCCCTGGGATGACAGGCGTGGGCCACTGTGCCTGGCTTGTTTTGTTTGGTGCTGGGGCTTGAACCCAGGACCTCATACCTACCAGGCAAGCGTTCTGCCACAGACCTACACCCCACCCCTGTGTATTTTCTACTGAACTAAAGTTAAATGTTTTTACTCTCCTTCCTTCCCTTTTTGGGAACTGAGCATTTGCCTAATTTTCCATTTCTCTAGTATCTTTTTTTTTTTTTTTTTTTACTTCGAGTAGTTTGGAAGTTATATTTTTGTTCTTTCAGTGGTTGCCCTAGAATTTTCAAGATGCAATTTTAGCTTCAAGTCTAAAATGGATCCACATTTTACTTGGTTGACATTTTGAAAAGAGATACAAGGCAGCCTTACCAAGACGCATCTGGAAACGTGTCCTTGTGTTCAGGTTATCACACTGTAACTCACGTCCCTCCTGGGTCTCCCTGCCCTGTTGATCTGGGTTGGAGAGGCCAAGAGCTAAGCCTTCTGTTTTGGCCTCTGTGTTGAACCTCTAAGGAGGCAGTTAGGGGCTGGGTGTGAGTCCAGGGGTCGAGTGCTTAGCTTGTGCAAGGTCCTGGATCCCAACCCCAGCACAGAAGGAAAGGAGGGGAGAGAGAGGAAGGAGCCATCATCAGGCCCTGCCTTGACCTCCCCTCTGGGCTTGGCCGGAGTGAGCTCAAGACACTAGGAGTGTGACAGGGGACTCCCACAGAGACGGCAAAGGGACTTCAAGAATTAGACCTGGGGGCAAACAAAGAGGTGACCAACTGCACTGCTTCTCCCCCAAGAAGAGAGACCATGGGACAGCAGCGTCCTCAGAGATCGCCATCTGCATCCGAAACCAGAGGGTGAGGCTGTTTGAACCGGCAGCCCTCGGGGCCAGGCGTGGCTCAGGTTGACTGGCATCAACCTAAACCTTGAGGCCATGTCAGTTATGTGGACTTGAAACCTGTTCCCTCCTCAGTGACCGCACCCTGATGGGCAAGGTTCAGGGCAGCACCCCCCATTCCTTCTGGCCTAGAAGGATCCTTCAAGATCATCTAAGTCAGCTCTCTTCACCCAGGGATCAGAAGACTGAGGACCACAGAGGTTGTCCAAAGGGACCCTGCGGGGACTTGGTGCTCAGTGCTATTTCCCTCCCTCCGCATAACCAGGAGGCGGCTGGATTTCCTCAGCCCTCAAGCTCCTGACTGCAGACTCGTCAGGACAAGGGCTTCGAGTCAGCAGCCACTTCTGCCCACGAGGCTGGCCTCTCCCCACAGCTGGGTCTCCTCAGCTCTTCTGCTAAAGAGTTTTCAAATCACGAGCTCAAATATGCTCCAGGGAAACTCGACAGCTACGTGAGCCAACTGGGACTTTCTCCTTCCCAATCTAGCAAGAGACAGGGCCATTTCCCATCCGGCTCAAGGAGAGGAAGTCCCCAGTCCACCCCTCCCCTGGGGACCACAGGCAGGCAGTGTTGTCCTGGTGGCTGTGGCTTGGGGACCACCCCTCTGGGCTTCTGGCTTAACGTGGGGTCTCTCAGCAGGTCTCTGGGGAGCGGGGGCAGGGTGTGAGGAGCAGCTGTGTCTTCCAGGAGGAAATCTGAGGTCGTCCTGGCAGTGGCTGGAAGAGGGCATGGCCCCTCACAGACTGGAGACCAGGGAGACCTCCCCAGTGTCCTCTGGGGCTTCCTCAACCCTGTCCTTGTGGTGCCGGTGACAGGGGCTCAGGCCACTTGTGGGAAACTAGCTGTGCCCTGAAATCCACACAATCAGCGCAAAGGTGGGGGCTGCCCCTTCCTTTTTTGATAAAACAAAATCCTTGGGGTGAACCCCCCCCCACGTCGGCGCTCCCGACTGAGTCGCCTGACGTCTGGCAGCTGGGGGAAGCACTGGGGTCTTTGCTGGGAGACAGCACATGGGAGTCGACTTCTGCGGACAGGGCCTTTGGCTGAGATTCCCGCGAGCCACTTGCTAACGCGGAAAACCCACCGGCTGCTCCAGAATGACTGGAAGACGGTGACCCTGACCATGGAGGCGGGGGGCGTCCGCGCCCAGCACAGGTGACTGTGGACCTGGAGCAGCGTCTCACTGTCACAGTAAGATGAAAAGAGATCCGAGAACCGTGGTCTAGGTGCCGTGTCTAGACTCACGGTGCCCATCTGGTTCCCCAGCTCCACTTGGTGTGGCCAAGGGCAATAGGAAACAGGCTCATTTCTCCAAGGGCAAGAGCACAGACAACCTGTCACTCCGTTGATGGCCACAGGGTCACAAACACAGACAGAGGGAAGCGTCCAAGAACAAGGAGGAACCCTTTCTCATGGGGACGGTGCTTCACTCTGTTTCACATAGATCCTGTTTTTTTTTTTTTTTTTCTGTTTCTTTTGGTACTGGGGATTGAACCCAGGGGTGCTGAACCACGGAGCCACATCCCCAGCCTTTTTTCCACATTTTATTTAGAGACAATGTCTCGTCAAATTGCTTAGGTCCTTGCTAAATTGCTGAGGCTGGCCTTGAACTCATGATCCTCCTGCCTCAGCCTCCTGAGCCACTAGGGTGATAAGCATGTGTCACCATGTCCGGCTCCTGCAAACTTTTAATCCTACAAGGGGACATTTGCTTTTACGATCCTGTTTTCCACCTTGTTCTGAACAATGAGGAGGGAATAAGTCCCATTCAGATCTGCCTCCCCTAAAAACAGTTCTTAAAACACAACTTGCTGTGCATCTAGAAGAGCAAAGAACTATCCATGGAAGTTGGCCTCCCAGGTGCAGAATCTGATGCCCAGGCAAGGTCAGGGCTGAGTGTGTGTGGGGGGGTGTCGGCCTGGGGGAGGAAGGCCAAGGTCACATCTCGGCTCCTGCAGGATCACCCTGGGGAAGGAGGGTGGACCCCAGCTCACCAGGGCCCTGGACAATGCCTGTTCCTGCTGCAGTTCTTGATGGTAGGACCAGTCAGTCCAGAAGAACACGCAGACGCCTTCTGAAGAGATGCCCACCCAGGGTGTTATTTGCATGGGTTTGATTTTTATTAAAACAGAAAAGACCACCATTTCTTTAAATAGCAAACTATACAGATAAAAAGGGAAGAAGTGATATGGATGAACACAAACTAATAGATTCAATAAATAACATAAAATTCTCTTGTGCTACAATAGAACTCTTGTTTCATATATATTTGGAGTTCAGTGAACTGTTAACCCAGTAGAAGCTGAACCAATTACAATTAGCTAAAACATAGAAAAATACAATTTAACAATACAACTAAAAAATGCCCCGTGTTTAGCTGTAAACCACATAAAAGACATACCATAGAATATAGTCAGTGAAGAGAAGAGAAATGAAGTCTCAGGTCCTTTGTCCTGTGAATACACAACTGGAAGTATTTTGCTATTCTCTACCCTGATGTCAAAGACCTTTTATATTTAGGACAAAATTAAAGATGGAGGCAGCCTGGCACGGTGGCCCACGCCTGTCATCCCAGCAGCTCAGGAGGCTGAGGCAGGAGGATCTTGAGTTCAAAGCCAGCCTCAGCCATGGCGAGGCCCTGAGCAACTCAGTGAGGCCCTGTCTCTAAATAAAACACAAAATAGGGCTGGGGATGGGGCTCAGAGGTCGAGGGCCCCCGAGTTCAATCCCTGGTGCCCAAAACAAACAAACAAACAAAACAGATGGAGGCGGAGTTGACAGTTTTCAGAGATGACCTTGAGACTGTTGGATGGTGGAGCGGCAGCTCTACTCTATGAACTTGAGTTACCTTGGAAAAGAAGGATTTCCCCCTGTGTATTCCTGATGGGTGCACATGCTTTTAACCCCTTTCTGTAGATTTCTGTTTGTTGGTAATAATTAATAATAATAGTAATTTAATGTTAAAGCTTTTATCAATTCCACAGCTGGGTCAGGAACACAGCTCCTCCTTCTAGAGCCTGCACGATCCCAAAGGAGGGGATGTCCCTGTCACTGTAAAAGAAGAGGTCTTTGAGGACAAAGAAAATCTGAAGTGCATCATGACCTGAGGGAAGCCGGGAGTCCCGTTTTAAAGTCTCACTTTCACTCTTTCTAGAGCAAATCTTTTTTTTTTTTTAAATATGGGGTCTGGATTAAGAAAATTCACCATAACATGAATGTAAGCCATGGCGCTCGCAAGTGGGCCTTCCGTGAGAAGGGGTAGTCACGCTCCATCTCCAGGAAAACTTAAACTACTAAAGATCCCTTTATAGGGAAATGAGTGTGGCACCAACGGACCCCGGGTTGACCAGAACGTCACTGGATCTGTAATGACGTCCCCAACTGACCAATGCAATCACGGCGATGGGGACACCACGTCCCCACTGCCCAGGGCTGCAAACTGCACATGGAATGTTGGGGTGACAGAGACGTCTGGTGCTGCTCGGGGTCTGGGGCCAAGGGCAGCAAGTGGGTGTCCTCGGAAAGTCCCGCTAGGCAGCAAGTGGCCTCATGCTGCAGTTAGCAGCTCCAGCCTCCGAAACGAAGTGACCGTTGTGTTCTGTAAGAGGACCCACCTGGCACCCGCTTGGCGCTCCGTGGTGTCGGTGGCCCACCTCCCTCTGTGGCCTCCTCCCCACAGAATCCTCCTGCCACAGGCCCCGAGGACGACTGGATTCATCCTGCGTCTGGGAGGGACACAGACGCTTCCCTGAACGTGACTGAGCCCAGAATTCCTAGGAGTAAACCCTATGAGGCTGACGGACACCACCACGTCTCAGAGCATTTCTGTAGATTTACATCACGGCAAAAGGCCCACGCTCAGAGAATTGTGTTTTCTCTTCCATCATGTTAACATTTTGAAATAATTATTTGAAAAATCATTGCCACTGAGAAGTGTCAAATGTTGTATTGAACTGGCCCGGCTACGGATTCTGAGACGAAAAAATCGGGGTGGGGGAGCCCCACTTTGCTCTTTAGTAGCAGTGTCAGCTACTGATCAACAACATGTTTCATGGCCGGGTGGCCTCAGCACAATTGCTTCCAACAGCCACGTGGCATCTGTCAGACTGCACACCAAGCTCACTCTGGGTAATTGGCCACAGGCCTTGTTTGCGGCCTGCCTGAGCTGGGTGCTTCCTTCCTGGGAGAGCCTCGTCCTGCCCAGGGCCCCCTTCTTTTTTTTTGGTACCAGGGATTGAACCCAGGGGAGCTTTACCACTGAGCCCCGTCCCCAGCCCTTTGTATTTTTTTATTTAGAGACAGGGTCTCGCTGAGTTGTTAGGCCCTCACTAAGTTGCTGAGGCTGTCCTTGAACTCGCAATCCTCCTGCCTCAGCCTCCTGAGCAGCTGGGATGACAAGCGTGTGCACAGCGCCTGCCTGGCCCCTTCTTTGAATGCACAGAATTTGAAACTATAGTGTTGATGAACTGACAGGGGACTGCGTACTTTGTATTCATGGGGGAAACAGAAACCAATTTCAAGAAGTTTTGCTGAAAAATCTTCCTTAAACACAATTGAGAAGGAAACACAGTGAGCCACAAGGACGTGAGGGGACACATGTACCCGTGAATGTGGTAAGTTAAGAATAAACTTGGAATAGCAAAAGTTTCTAATTTATTCTGTACGTGTTACATAGCAGCTCAAAGCAACCTGTTATTTTTAGGCTTTGCTACTGATTCTTTTTTGAAATATGAAATCGAGGCTTATTATAGCATAATTTTATAAAAATAATAGCAACCTCGATTGTTTTCCTTGACAATGTTCAAAACATTGCAACTATAGATATCTGAATTTCTAAAGTAACGAGAAAACCTGGGCTGACTTTTGTCCCAGTGTGGGAAGGACCAAATATCTAGGAATTCATCTACACTCTCAAAACTTCCAAGACAGCAGGCCCTGGGGTGCCTGATCTGGGGAGAGCAGCACCCTCAGGAGGAGTGCTCCAGGACCCTGCGCCACCGGCTCACAGCGGCTGGAGCTGCTCCTTCAGGACTGGGACCCCTGGGTGCACGTCCTGTGTCCACACAGACCGCATGGAGCCGGGAGGGTGAGGGTGTGCTGGGGCAGGAAGGGCTCTGGGGTACTTTCCAGAGCACGTTTCTTTTCTGAAAGGCAAAGACCCAGAGCAAGACCATGTTTCTGAAAGAGGTGCAGACTGGCAGGTCTCACAGCAAGCAGGGGAAGCCACACCATCCTCCTGAACCATGTGGCGTGGATGCCACCCAGTGTGACATGTACAAGATGAACCCAGCCTTAACAGTGGCAGGGCGCCCCCTCCTGCGGTGGCCCGTTAGCCTGGAGGAGGTGCTAGGCCTGGGAACTCCGCATCCAGGCCAGCTGCAGCCAACCCGGCTGGGAGGACGCCCTCCCCCTCAGGGCGACAGCTGAGCCCCGTTTTGGCAGTGTGGAATGTGCTCCTTTTAAACAGAATCCGGGGCTCTTCTACCCTCTCAAGGAGGGCGGTGGGGTGTGTGGCGCCCTCCTCCGCCCTGCAAGCAGCAGACAGCCACCCGTGCCACCTGAAACCCCCGCCCGGAGCCCAGGTGGATAAAAACCCCAAACTGCTGGCCCAGGTCCCCCAGGCGCACAGCAGACCTTCCAGAAGGTGATCTACTCAGCTCCCAAAATGACCTCGTGGAAGGACGCCCTGACCTTCCCAGGGCCTGTGGCACAGAAAGGTGAAAACAAAGGTTTGGAGCCACTAAAAATATCAAGGACAGGATACAAGAGGTCAAGACGACAAGTTATTTATATTGTTAATAATTAAGTTAAGACATACAGTGAAACTACCCAGGAGCCGACGAATGTGTGGACTTTGGAAAGGACTTTGTGGCCTGGGGGACTTTGCTGGTTCTGTCACCAGCATTTATTGGGGGTCAACAGGCATGGAGGGGTGGGGACGAAACACTGGGGAGGAGGCTGCTGGGTCTTTGCTGCTGGACGGTGGGCCCCAACCCAGAGAGGCCAGTGCAGAGGGACCCACCACCATGGGACAAGAGAGTCCCTAAACAGCCACCTCCCATGCTTGTTCCTCAGCATTTTTTCAAATAAAAATCACCTCAAATTACGCTCAAGGTGAAGCAGCGGGATTCCCTTCCTCCTCTTACACATAACGGCTGACCACTTCTCAGGATCAGGCAGAAGGTTCCAGAACCACGGTGTCCTACAGGGGCTCAGGGTGGACTCCAAACCAGCTGTAGCCAGGGTGCTTGTGACCTGGGCACCCAGAGGTGTCCCACTGCTGCCCTGGTCCCCAGTCTGACACCTCACTACTCTCCCTGGGAACACCAGGGACCCTCGGGGGGCTGGCAAGTGAACCCCATTTGCCACCCCCGCCTGCCCGCGGCCCCTGGAGCAGGAGCGTCTGGGGCCGGTTCTCCAGTGCGCAAGGAACGCGCTCCACAGCCCCCTACCCCGGCCCTGGGACATTGGAGCCAGCATCTCCGACAGCAGAGCCCGGCCACCGCAGGGCACCTGGCCCCCAGGACTGCGGACCTCCAGGGCCCCCGGGGAAGTCTGAGATGTCTGACATCAGACTGAAAAGTAAGTGCCGAGTAGGGATGTTTCAGTTCCAGCTTGGAGGTACCAAAATAAGTTGTCTAGCAAAGAAAAGGAGCTTGTGTCCTCAGTAGTCTCCAGTGCGGGCCAGCACCACTTGGTGGCGCAGGGTCGGCCGCGCTTGGAGAGGTCCAACTCCCTTTGGGGGCATCTGGCGCCCGCCTGGGGCCTCCTGGCGGCGGATGAAAGGTCCCAGCGCCCGACACCTCCGCCACAGCCTGGCACGTCCGCACGGACCCCAGGCTCCGCCCCACGTGGAGAGCCGGCGTGGCCTCCCGGAGGCCCTTGTCTCTCCCGCTCTCGCAGCTACAGGCCATTGCTGCTTCTGTGGCACAGCGGGGGCTTGGAGAGCTCCACCAGGCTGGCCCGAGGCCTGTTGAGGAACTTGGGTGCGCGGCGCAGCAGCCGCTGGGCCTCGGTGAAGGTCTCAGTCAGCTCCTTCTTCCACTGCGCGAACTCGGGGTCGCTCTGCAGGGAGACAGGAAGACGGGCTGGGACAGGTCCACCCACCCTGCCCACAGCCTCTGGAGGTGACCTGGAGCCTGCCGGGGCGTGCCCCTCAGTGCCTACTCTGCACCACCTCTCCAGACACTGGGCCTACGACCCTCATCCAGAGCCTCTAGCAGCGAGAGGGGAGGCCAGCTTCCTGGAGCAGCCCCAGCAAAGCAAAGGGCTTCAGTTCAACAACCGTGGTGGGCAGCAGATGGGGAGGGGCCCCGCAGGCCAACACGCACCTTCACGGGCGAAAATTAGCAATGAGGTTATTAAGGTGCGCCTTGGGGTCTACCCCTTGTTTATCTCCTGGAACACGATCTGGAGCCCCCAACCCCCAACACACACAGCGCACCAGAGCAAACAGTGTTCAGGAATGAAACCTGGGCCACACAACTGGAGGGCAAAGAGCATCGCCCCTTAGAGAAGTCTGAGCCTTTTCTGAAAGGCAAAGACCCAGAGCAAAACCATATTTTTGAAAGAGGTGCAGACTGGCAGGTTTCACAACAAGAAGGGGAAGCCACACCATCATCATAAACCATCACGTGAACATGTGAACTTCAACCTCAAACATGCTGGCAGGTCAGACCTACAACCTCAGGTCCCGTAGAACTCCACCCCCCACAGAGTCTGGGGGGTTTCCACATAAGGTCACCAAATTCAGGTATTTCCTCCTTCTGTTTTCAAATATTTTCTTTTTTGAACTACCTGTTGATTTGGTGGACACCTGGCTCAGTTTCTAAGTGCCGCAGCACCCTGAGGGGCACCCTGGTGCCCGGTGGCCAGCTGTGCTGGGTGCCAAGCAGTGGCTCAACCTTCACCCGAGAGATAAGGAGCCGCACTCACCTCACACTGCAGGACAAACTGTTTCCCTCCTTTTATTCTGAACAAAATGCACTTTTTGTCTTTAATCTGAGTTTCTTCCACAGAGAGGATTTGTTCCATGGTCAGTAGATTTTGCTAACCATAAAAACAAAATAAATAAAGAAAAGTTATTCCCAGTATTGCATGATTTTTTAAATTTATTAAATGAATAAGTGATGATACCAAGAACCCAGAACAGGTCCAAAAAAAAGGAAAAAGAGAAGCAGCATTTTTCTTTCTTTGATGATGTTCTAGAACTGAAGGGGAAATGGCTACAAAGGACACGCAGGAAAATCCAAATGATAATGTCTCAAAGAAAACCGCAAAGAAAGCAATGCTTCTACGAGGCCAAGGGGAGCGCAGCCACAGAACTGATCTGGGAGGAGGGCGGGTCAAGCTGTGAGGGAAGTCCCCGAGCCTGGCCTAAGCAACTCAGGAAAGGCCTGGTGATGTCAGATGCTATAAAAATGGCACTGCAGATACAGGTGACAGCCTTCAGAGATTGTCACACTGGGTGTACAGCATTGCTGCACACGGCAAAGGCTATGCGTGAGTTCCTTACCATTTTGTGTTTTTTGGGGTAAATACTCCAAGAATCCTAAATGAGAAACAATAGCGTCATAAGCTCCCGAGTTCCCCTTCTCCTTGGTCCTCACCAGCCCCGCCCTGTGTTCTGCAGCTGCTCAGGAGAGCACTGGGGGCGACCTTTCAACACCAAGGTCAGCTCGCGCATCCCAGGTTGAACACAGGAAGTCGAGTCTTTAATTTTTCAAATATCCTGAAAAGTGGGGCAGCTTCCTTCCCATGTGCACAACAGTGTCAGTGAACAGAGGCCCAGTGCCCCCTTACCTGGGGACGGCCTGAGCTCTGGGGCCACCTCCACCAGCACTGCACCTGTGTCCTGTGTGACTCACAGCCCCAAAGATCTCGTCAACTAGATCCTTGCTGTTAGTTTTTTAAAAAGGGCTTCTATGGTTCAAAAAATCGTGAGATCCTGTTTATTTTTTATTTTATTTTTTAAAATATTTATGTTTTAGTCGTAGTTGGACACAATACCTTTGCTTTATTTATTTTTATGTGGTGCTGAGGATCGAACCCAGGGCCTTGCACGTGTTAGGTGAGCGCTCTACCACTGAGCCACAACCCCAGCCCCGCCTGTTTATTTTTTTAAAACAATATGGTTTTTGCAATCCCAGCCATTCATATTTAAATGGCAACTTCCACCCAGGGATTCCAAAGCACCATCCGAGTGGAAGGTAAGATCAGGGCCTACTGTGCTCCACACCGACTCCATGGGGAGTGGTGGCAGCCGTGTTCTGATCTCCTAATACATAATGATGTTTCTGACACCCAGGACCATCTCCCGCTTACAGTGACAGACGTGACCTCCCTGGGAGCAGAGGGCAGGCCTTCACCCACCGCTGGCTCCTCTCCTGGCCATCAGCACACAGGAGGAGCTTAATAAATGCTGCCTGACCTGCCAACAGGTACAGGGTGGAGCAGAGACTTCTTTCCCTCTTACACTCATTGCCCATGAGCTCCACAGAGAACCCAAGAGCACAGCATATCTTCCTGTCCCTAAACGAGGGCCACCTGCAGACTCCACGGGGGCAGACAAGAGGGAGTGTGGCCTGGTGACCTCGTCTCTGTGCCCAGTGTTGTGGGTGACATTTCATTTGACCTGACGTGGGGAGAGGCGGGAGGCCTGGGTGGATGTGGGTTTGAAAGCTCTCCAGTGACGCTGTCCAGCTGTGTCCCTGCCACACCCTGCCCCTCTGAGCCCTGTTTCCTGTCCACAGGGGGAGGGTCCGACCTTCAGAAGCTGCTAACAGACTGAGACGTCTTTGTTGCACAGCAGCGGGCCTCAGATGACCAGCAGGAATGACAGCAGGCGTGGTGACTGCCATTTCCCCCACTTCACGGGTGAGGAGACAGCCCAGTCCCCACCTCTGCCTCTGGGTTTCCTCTGGACACCTTCCATGTTCAGGCACTACTAGGTCCTTCCTTGACTGGGCTGGACTTGGGGGCTGGAGGAGAGAGTGTGGACGCCCCAGCCTCATGCACATGAGCTGGAGGACACCCCGGCGTGCGGAGGAAGCTAGGAGACCCACCAGGGACCTGAGCTCATCTGACGCAGGGGTGCACAGCACAGGCGCCACCTGCCCCCGACTCACCCGGGACTCGCCTTCTCCCCTCCACTCGAGTCTGTTGGGAAAGAGGTAGAAGTAGCGGCGCTGCCACTGCGTGAGGAACGGGTTGCCCAGCTTCAGCATGTAGCCGTGCAGGAGGCAGTCCTTGCCCAGCGCGTAATCTGCAGGGAGACGAGCGAGTGTGGGGCGGCCGCGCAGCCGGGGGCGGCCATCCCCTCTGGGAGGGCAGAAGGCGTCGGTGGGAGATGGAGCTCTCCATCAACACACCTCAGCTGCGCTGGGCTGGCCCAAGGACGGGCGTCTCCTCGGCCATCCCCACCAACACACTAAATGACACTTCTCCACACTCTTCAGTCAGACCTGTGACGTGCATGGACTGCTCAGAGGGGACAAAGTGGGTTCCCAGACCATCTCTGTCCCTGCTGTGTGTGTGTGCAGGTGGTGAGGAGAGGAGCACATCCACACCCCTGTCCTCTGTGGGATGGGAAGGTCCCTCCCCTCTTCCTTTCATTATACAGGTGACACTAGAGGGGGCCTTTGTCACCCAGGTCAGCAGTCAGTCATGGGCAGTCCCTTCGTGAGCCGGGGCTAAGCTTCTTCGTCAACGTGTGGCTGTGCAGAGACCATCCACCCGGCTGTGGACTCTTACAGGGGAATCTGGAGCCTTGGTCGGAGCCCTGGGGACCCTGACATGGCTCACAGGCTGAGGTCTCCTTCCTCAAGCAACCATCTGGCAAAGGCCCAGGGCTGGGCATGTCCAGGGAACAGGAAGGACTAAATCCTGCCCTGGTGAGCTTAGTCCAGTGACAGGTGTAGAAATAGACAAAGGAGCCACCCCCCTGCCGTGTCCCCACAGCAGGAGGGGCAGGAGCAGGTGGGGAAGGACACAGAGGGCCAGGGCCGGCGTCTCTGCAGCCACCACTCTGAGCAGAACAGCGCTTGGTTTTCAGAATGTGTCTAAATCCCAACGTGGTGTTTGTTCAGAGAGCTCAAGCTGGACTCTGCTTTTCTGTGAAGGTGACTTCTGAGGTGGCCAACCAAGGTGACAGATTACTAAGGACATATGTATGAAGATGAACTCATGATTTGTCAGATGATGATGGTTCTGATGCAAACAATTCGCTTCCACAAGGTCACCTGGGCAAGGGTGCTTTCCAGATCCTAGGACCATCAGGGCCCTCCATCCAGCAAAAGACCGATGGTATACTTTTTAGGGTAAAACCTGCCATGGTGACGGTGTCCCAGTATGATCCCCAGGGACCAGCTCTCTAAGGACTAGTGTATACAGCAGGCCATGGCCCTGTGGAGCTGAGGCGTGGAGGCAAAGCCCTGTGGATTCACGTAGGAAAGTCTCCAGGAGACAAGGACGCAGCTGGCTGTCCTAAGTAGGCGAAAAATGCCCCAGGGAAGGAGTCCACTGAGACCACTGGATCCTCCAACAGGGGGCCTCCAGCCAGCTGCCGTAACATAGAGGGGAAGCACCCTCAGTCCCTCCTAAATGCCTGCAAGGTCACCCTAGGGCTTCAGCGTCAATGTCAAACAAGATGTGTCTTACCTCAATCATCAACTACAGTACATGCAAACAACCCAACTAAATGAGATCTTGGAAAAATAAGAGTTACAACGTTCAGCGAATCAAGGATGATTGACAAGTTCATTTAGTGTTTGTTGTTACGTTTTCTATTGAAATCCTAATAGGGCACCTGATTTTTTAAACGAAAAGGCACACTTTGGCTGTTCTTGAATGCGGTTTGTACCACAGATGTATTTACACGCTTATCTCTCTTGACAGGTGGCATGCCAAGCCCAGTCCCCTGCCGGGACCAGTCACAAACTCTATGGGGCTGGTACCTGATGGGAACATGACCCTTCCTCAAGTGCCATCACAGACCCGGGGTCTCGAGGTGCTGACGCAGGGCATGAAACCTTGTCCAGGCCTCTGTGACTGGGCAGGGCACTCAGGTAGGCTGGCCCTGCCCACATGGGCGTGTCCCTCTTCCGGGAAGAGCCTGTCAGGCCAGAGGCCCGTGGAGAGGTCCTGCTCACTGTGCCCGGGCTTCCCTGAGGACCGAGCCTGGGACGCTGTTTCTTTAGGGGCTCTGGAATACCACCCCGATCGCCTCCAACACACGTGAAGCTACCGTGACGCTGGCCACTGTTTTTTTTTTTTTCCTTTGTTGGAAAACACACGTGACTCAATGCTTTCCCAATAACCCGTGGAGACCCGCCCCGGGAGCTGCATGGCCTCTCACCTTCCTCGTGGCCCAGCTGCTTGTTCTTGGCCCTCTTCCTGGCCTCCGCCTTGTCCGTGTCTGCGTTGACGGCTTCGTAGACGGTTTCTGTGACTTCCTGCTGCCAGCGCTCGGAGATGACCAAGGGGAAGTTCCTGTAGAGCTCCTGGTCGCAGTCCAGCAGCTGCCAGGTTAAGAAGCCAAGACATTTATGAGTTAGCGCGTAGACATCCGTGGTGGCCCCAGCACAACCGTATCAGGGAGGTGACAGGAAGACCCACTGCAGGAGGAAGGGGGTTGGGCCCCCTCTACGCCAGCTTCATGACGTCTGTGCAGCCGAAAACCAACCTGATGTACAGGTAGGTTCTGACACCAAGTGCCCCTGTGACTGCAGTGAGGGCACCTTGTTTATAGAGTAGGAAAACAGTCCATGTAATTCTAGAGGTCACGATAAGGGCAAAGCCAAGAAGGTCCCAACCTACCATAGGTTCATCTGAAAAGTTACACACAAGGTAATGTAGGCTGAATTCGCCATTCTTTCCATGAACTTTCCAACTAATTAAACACTATGAACATACATAGAGGCATTAAGCCCAAGATATACGTGGAGAGTTTAGGCAACACAGCCTGTAAGAGTTGCTGTGATAAAAATTACACGTTAACGATAGCATTTTTGCTTCCAGTTATTCAAAATTCTTCCTTCTGCCCTCTAAGAGAGGCTGCACTTTGAAAATAAGCCAAGATCCTGGTGCAGAGGATGCCTGTAATCCCACCAACTCCAGAGGCTGAGGCAAGAGGATCTAAGGTTCGAGGCCAGCCTCAGCAATTTAGTGAAGCCCTAAGCAACTCAGTAAGACCCTGTCTCAAAATAAAAAAAGGCTGGAGATGTGGCTCAGTGCTCAAGTGCCCCTGTGCGCCCCCCCCACCCCAAAAATTTATCATGTCCTTGAGCTATGGTGTAGGGGGTGGCAGAGTACAATTTGAGAGGAGCAGCCCGGGTCTGGTGAGAAGCACAGTTCTCTCTAGAGTCCGAGTTCCTTACTCCTTTGTCTGAGAAACAAGAAGGGGATAAGCACTGCAGCAGGCAAGCTCTTTAGAAGGGAAAGAGAGACCTGGTGGGCCGAGTGCGCCCCACACCCCGGACTGGGGCACGGTCTGTCCGTGTGCCTGACTGTGCTGCGGGAAGGCACCCCCACTCCCACACCCCTGGCTGGCAGGGCCCCTTCCTGCTGTCTTCACACCTCCAAACTAAGCACAGTTGTTCTTAGCGTGAGGAGGGGCAAGTGGCACCTGGGGTGAGGATGTGCCTCTGAGAGTGAGGGCAGGGGCGGCAGTGCCACCACGCCAGGCCCCACGCTCCCTCCGAGCGGCTGCCCTACAACAGCCAGCCCTGCTCTGTGGATGCACGGTGCACCTCCTAGGCCTTCCCCAAGCCTCCATCCTGGGACCCAGCCCCACTGCTCAGCAGGACTTAGAGGAGAGCTGAGGGCGACCTGAGGTGAGGGGAGGAGCCTTCTGTGAAGAACAGAGCAGTGGGGGAAGGGGGCTGCTTCCCACAGGTGGAGAAGCCATGCTCCTGAAGACCAGGGGGTGCCATGGGACGCTCCATCCGGCTGCGCCCGAGCTCCTCCGCCCAGCCTCGTTCCCACACAGGCTCCTCCCACCCAGCCTCATTCCCGCACAGGCTCCTCCCTCCCAGCCTCATTCCCGCACAGGCCCCTCCCCCAGCCTCGTTCCCACACAGGCTCCTCCCTCCCAGCCTCATTCCCACGCAGGCTCCTCCCCCAGCCTCGTTCCCACACAGGCTCCTCCCTCCCAACCTCATTCCCACACAGGCTCCTCCCCCCAGTCTCATTCCCACACAGGCTCCACCCTCCCAGCCTGGTTCCTACACAGTTTCCACCTCCCCCTGCGCTCTCCCCTGAAGCCGCAGCGCTAGCAGCCACTAGCTTGCCATAAAGGCTGACCGTGGGCCCGGGGCTTGGACGGGTCATCCCACCGTCCTGGAGAAAGCCAACAATGAAGCCACGCGCTTTACCGGTGGGTAAGCCACGGCTCGGGGCTGGGACGGCCTGAGTCCATTCAGCTGAGAGTGGCAGCTTCTCACACCAAGTCTGCAGAGTCCGGTTTATAGAAAGTTTCCGTCAGAGGATCTTTCATGTGAAAAATTTGTCTGGGCTTCCACATGATAGCAGCTTTAATTTAATTTTGACGGATAGTGGCATATCTGATGACAGAATTCTATTGTGACAGCTGCTCCTTTTAAATAGTGGCTCCGGGACGGGTTCCGATGGGTCACACTGTAGACGCAGCCCAGTGGGGGCAGGCCTGGGCATGCCGGCTGCTTCCCGGGGAGCCCAGGGTCGCAGACCTCAGAGGGGTGCCTCTAAGCTGCTGGATCACTTCACACCATCCACACCCTGTGGCCTTGGCCCCTGGTCTTCCGGCACCTCACCTCCTCCTCCTAGGGGCTGATCCTGTGGACATCCCAGCTCCGCCCTCCTCTCCTGGAGCTGCCAGCTCTGACCACTTCTGTCCCCAGCTCGCCAGGCAGGTGGCCTTGGACTCTGCCCTCCTCCCCAGGGCCTCTGTACTTCTCTGGCCCTCTACCCACCACCTCTGTCCCTTCAGAGCTCCTGCCCGGCCATTGATTTCAGTCTTTGCTCTGCACCTGGCAGGTGTGTTTTGACAGTGTTGCTGCCTTCTGGAGGGGAAGGCACCTGGGGGACAAGGGGAGGTGCGTGGAGAAGAGCACATGGGAGGCAGCTAAGAGGAGGTGGCCTGGGATGGTGGGAAGAGCCTGGGATGAGCTATGGAGGCTCATAGGGGGCAGATGACAGTTTGATGCTAGTGACACACTGCGACTTAGCATCTTAAAGATGATGGTTTTCCTTGGTGTTCACATCTGTAATTATGACTTGTCTCTAGTTAGAAAAATGATGATGTGAACAGAAGCTTCAAAAATTCCAAGGATGATACAAAAAGCAGGGACTATGTCCTCTTTGAGTGACACAAGCAAATGGCCTGTGCTGTTGGCACTCTCATCCCAGCCTGGGGACCCACCTGCATAGGAGAATTACGACGACTGAGCTCTGGCGCCAGGTGAGCTGGGCTGGATGTCAAGTTGTTTCTCTGGCTCAGGTTAATTGAAGTTTTATTTCAAACACAAATATTCCATATCAATCAACGATTTTGAGTTTGTCAAAATCAAAATTAGCAAGGCTTGGCATGGTGGCACATGCCTGTCATCCCGGCAGCTCGAGAGGCTGAGGCGGGAGGATGGCGAGTTCAAAGCCAGCCTCAGCAACAATGAGGCGCTAAGCAACTCAGTGAGACCCTGTCTCTAGCTAAAACACAGAATAGGGCTGGAATGGGGCTCAGTGGTGAATGCCCCTGAGTTCAAGCCCCAGGACCTAATAAAAAACAAATAAAATTAGCAGTACAAAGAAAGCTTTTATGGTGTCTGTCTAAGGTAGGTCTTTGACTTGTACATATGTCAACTACGTAGAGATTCACTTGTAGGTGACATTCTACAACCATGCTAGAGCAATCGCTAAGTTTGATGGACACTCAACAGAAATTCTCTCCACCCCAAACCAGAAGGCAGCCAGCACCTGCATACCTTAATACCTTTGGTGTCCTCTTCATCAAAAGAGCCAATGTCGAAGGCATCCGCAGCATTGACCTCTCCCCGGGGAGGGATGAGGGGTGGTGGGTACTGAAAGAGGCAAGGAGGCAGGTTCCCTTATCAGCTGCCCTTGGCGGCCCCCTCCCCTCCCAGCAGTCTGTGTCAGGAGCTGAGTGAAGTCACCCTGCTGCATTCTGAGCAGCACTAAAGCCACGTGCATTCACACAAGGATCTGCACTGAGCAGCCCAAGGGAACAGCCAAGTCTCAGGGGAAAAAAAAAAAAAAAAGACCTTCAAGTCTTAAAACATTTTTAAATATAATGAAGTCTCTAGACTGCACACCCCCACCCCCCACTCAGCCTCTAGAAAGCAGGTTCCTCAGAGGATGCAGTGTACCTCTTGGTCACTGGAGCCACAACCTACCACCCAGCGCCTGCAGAAGCGCCAAGCTCTAACACCTGTAGGTGTCGCCCAGGTGAGTGGCCATGCCCAGATTCTGTCTTCAGGACCAACCAGTCAGGGTGTGCTTCCCACAGAAGGAACACCCCTCTGCAGTTCGCATTCATGCAGAAACTGCCAATCACATAAGAATAAAATATATTCTTAAAAATATACTTTACTTGGGGTTTTCCTATATCAATGAGATATAATGAAGCTTAAAATAAGGAAACGGGGCTGGGCCATGGCTCAGGGGTGCAGCCGTGCCTAGCATGGGGGAGGCCCTGGGTTCCATCCCCAGCATCACAAGAAATGTTTTTAAAAGAATAAAAAAACAAGGGAATTGTGCTGATATACAATCATGCTAATTCTTAAACTAAGTGGTTCTGGGCCAGAAGATATATATAAGTTTATGCCAAAAGTTTCTCCTATGTTTTTACAGAAGTCTATGTAAAACTAAGGAAAAAAAAAACTATGTAAAATTAAGAAATCAAGCAGATGGGCCAAAACTAAAATGTCTCAATTATATGGACATTTGAATTAGCTACATAACAGCTCTATCTTATCTTTAATTAGTTCATAGAGGAGATATTTTTGAAATTTATAAATAAAGTTGTCCCCCATTATCTGAGGATTGGTCCCAGGAACCCCCTGCACACCCAGATCAGCACATGCCTGAGACCCTGATGTAGAATCACAGGTATTTGCCTAGGACCTGCCCATCTCCTCCTGGATACTGAGCTATCTCTAGATGATGCAATCCCCAGTACAGTGTAAGTGCTATGTGAATTGTTGCTACACTAGGTTGTTTGGGGAAAATCTAATAGGGAAAAAAATCTGTGCATATTCCATATGGATGCAATTTTTCTTCCTGTCTTCCACCTGTGGCTGGTTGAGCCTGGGGACGGCAGGGCCAACCCAAAAAGCAAAATGAAGAGTGAGTTGTTGTCCCAAAGGGGGTCAGCCAAGGGCAACACCCGGGTGGCAGAGCTCTGTGGACACAGGAAGCCAGGGTAGGGACCAGGTCCAGGAAGCTAGCAATGAAGAGAGGCAGAGCCGGCAGAGCGGGCAGAGCGCAGAGGCCGTGGCACCAGGGCCTGGGCGTGAGTACCTTCTGCAGGTAGACGTGCTGCCAGTCGATGCCCTTGAAGAAGCCATGTCCTTTCACCTCCTGGGCACTGGGGAAGAGAGGGTCCTAAAGGTGGTGAGTATGCACTGGAGATGGGAGAGGAATTTTACAACATGCCCGAGTGAGCACAGCTTTTCAGGACGGCAAGTAAGGACGCTTCTCTCAGAGCAGCACAGGGAATGCCGTGACCTTCAGAAAGGCCTCGGGCTGTACCTGGAGCCTGTCCATGTGACCACTCATGGCCCGCCCACACCCCGCAGCACAGGTATAGGTGTGTGCACCTTAAAAGCAGAACAGTAGAGGACACACACATTCTACTTACCTGTCAATGGTGATTCTGTAGCCACAAGAACCTAGCTTAATAAGAATTAAATTGGAGATCTACACATTTAAGAAATTTATGGCCAATGTCTGCTGGTTGTGATAGGGAAAATGACAAGAAAATGATGATCTTAAGCAGCAAACATTGTCTTGGATGCAAACTAGAAATCTAGCGGTGGGGTGAGTGCTGAGCCCCTTCGTAAGCTGAAGAAACAAACTTCCTGAAGGTCATGGTCAAGATCTCCCTGACCCTCAGCACTTCTCTGTCCATCTGTACTACAGAGCCCAGACCAGTCTCAGCCACCCGCAAGGGCCTGCCCAGGCCCTGTGCGCCTTTGGTGATGTCACGTGACGACCAAGTCCTGTCTGCATGAGGCCTCGTGTCCAATGCCTGCCCAGCAGCCCCACGTGGACCATGCAGCAGGTCTGAGGCTGCTCTGCCGCCCCCAGGCCACACTCCTCCCACCTGAGCTGCCCTGCTGCCCCTCACTCCCTAGCTTCCCCGGGAACTCACGGCAAAATTCAGTGCCGCACCCCCCGTGACAAGGCCCAAGGGACCTGGCCAGGGCCACCTCTCGGATCCATTCTTCTACCCATCTCTTTCCTCCATCCTCAGCTTCTGCGACCCAGCCTTCCTGGCTTTTCTGAATTGCAGTCTGAGGCCCTCCCGCCCGAAGCCCTCGACCTACAAAGTTCCCCCACGTCCGCCCACCATGTCGCTTAAGTCATTCCTGGTCCTTTTCACAGCCTTTGTCCTCTCAGCGGTCTGTCTGCTGCCTCCGTCCCCACCCCGTGTAAGTGCCAAGTCCACCTGGGCCCTGCCCTGCGGAGGCAGGGTGGTGAGGCTGGCGCTCAGCGAGGGCTCAGGGGTCACCGAGTGGGGCGGGGTCCAGGTCACGGAGCTCTGGGCATGTCCACCAGAAGCCCTGGGGCTTTCTGCAGCTGTGTTGTGGTTGGTGCCTTGTCACTAGCCCTAGATGTAAGCTAGACAGGCTCCAGGTTTCCTCACATCCACTAGCAGCTGCCAAGGGACGCAGGGGTGGCCTCTGGATCAGCCTTGCCCCTCCCACAGGCCCGAGGGACAGCAAAGCACAGAGAGGCAGACCCTCCCCAGAGGCGGCAGCCAGGGCCACCCGCTGGCAAGTGGGGGAGGGGACAGACAGCGGGGACTGGCCAAGCTATGGTCTTGGGGACGGAGCCACGTGCTGACCTCCAGGCTCATCACAGAGGATGAGCGTATGTGAGACACAGGACTGGGACTCTGCCCGGGGACCCTTGGTGTGGACACAGCTGGACACCGGTACACAGAACCTCCTTCCCCACACCAAGCCCCAAGCACCTACAGCTGCCCTAGTGGGAAGGAAACCCCACATGGTTGGGATGTGAGGTGTCCCCCAAAGCTCATGTGTGAGATAATGCGAGAAGGCTGAGAGGAGAAGTGACCGGGCCATGACAGTCTTGATCCAATCAGTGATTAGTCCCCCTGAAGGGATTAACTGAGTGGTGGCTGAAAGTGGGTGGAGGTGGCTGGAGGAGGGGAGTCTCTCTCTCTCTGCTTCCTGAGGATCACTCGAGCTACTTCCCTCTTCCACACTCTTCCACCATGATGTTCAGCTCACCTCCGGCCCCAAGGAATGGAGCCTGCTGTCTATGGACTGAGACCTTCAAAACCATGAGCCTCCAAATAAACTTCCTGCTCCACAGTTATTCTGGTGGGGTCTTTTGGTCACAGCAGTGAAAAAGCTAAGACAATCTCTGAAAGATTCTACAGTCAAGAAACTAAACCTGTTACTGATCTTTCAAAATAATCAATAAAACGGTTGGAAATTTAAGTGATCAGAAAGTATAAGAAAGAGTCAAAGCAAAGATATGGATAATATATAAGATCAGGACCAAGGGACCATAGGGGACCAGCCTAGAAGTCCCAGCATCCAGCCAATGGACTTCTGGGAGAAATGGAGGAGCAGAAATGTCACGTAAGTTAAACAAGACTCTCCCCTAAGCTGAAGAGCATGAGTCTTTGAGAGCAAGCACCTGGCGTCAGGAACCATGGGAGTTCCATACCACAGGGGCTATTCGCTTGTACTCAATAAAGCAGAGTCTTCAGAGTTCTGGGGGTTGCCAGTGACTGACTGTCCCGTGTCTGGCCTATATGTGAGTCATGTCTGTGGACAGCGGGAAGACAGTCTAGGTGAGACCCAGATACCTGGCCTCTCCTAGCCCCTCTCTAAGATTCCTTGGGAACATGGTTCAGCTCAAACAGAGGGACCCAGAAAAGTAGAGGCGAGGGATCAAGTAGATGGTGATTCAGACCAGGAGAGCAGAGCAGGGCGGCGCCGGCTGCAAGGAAGCCGACTGGCCGAAATCATGTGGTTCTCACTGGAGCTGATAGTATGTGTGCCATGAAGAAAACCAGGAAAAGTAAAAGCCCATGACTGTGATATCATCTCTTCATATACACACACGTCATGTTATAGAAATAAATGTAAGGCCTATTACCAGACTAAGTGGAAACTACATGATGAACGACATTTATGTCGCCTTATGGTGTAAACACTATTTCATTTGCAACTCTTGAAATCAACGTAGGCAAAGTACAAAGACTGGGATTCACTGTGATCAAAGAATAGGGAAAAGGGGCTGGGATTGTGGCTCAGCGGTAGAGCACTTGCCTAGCACTGGCGGGGCCCGAGTTCGATCCTCAGTACCACATAAAAATAATAATAATAAAAAAGGTATTGTGTTAAAAAAAAAGAATAGGGAAAAGACCATAACAACTTAATCTATCAAAAAGAGAAAAGAACATGATAAAGGAGAGACAGAGAAGCAATTGATGAATGAAGAGAATGTAGAAGCCTCACTGTATACAGTTGGGACTCAAGAGATGTTGTTTGTAGTTGGTGGGAAAAGGCACCACTGGCTAAATCTATAGTTTAAAGCTACAAAGTAAACAAAAGAGGAGCCCAAAGTAGCAGTTGGGCTCTGGGGAGAGCTGGGAAGGGGCAGGGAGACAGAGGGGGCAGTGACCAAGGCTTTATTCTTACAGCGGGAATGAGACACCCTCAGTGGAACCGATAAATAAGGAAATGTGCACATGAGCATATGATTTAGCTGAATAAAACACACACAGTCTTCAGGAATAATGAGCGTGTAGACATGCATGCTACTCTGAAAATACAAAAATACACACGTCACACACACACACACACACACACACACACACAAGTGTCATACTGTCCTTTCCGTGTGAAGCCATCCAGGTGTGGGGACAAATCAGGGACAGTCTGTGTAAGCACTTCTCTAAAGCTTCCTCCCTGGTCTGACTGTTTTGGGGAGCTTTGGGGGAGGGGAGAGTAGGTGAAGGAGAAAACGTGGGAGCCGGCCACAGCACCTCAGTGCAAGACTGAGACAGTGGCATGCACCCCGGGGTCGGGGACTGCAAGGTGGCCGAGTTCATTCCGTCCTCCACCAGGCTGGCTTCACACCTGACAGGCTCCCTGCTTCTCCATCACAGCACTCACAGAGCAGGGCACACAACTCCGTGGAGACAGAAGAGCTGAGCCTACCCGCCTCCACGACAGCCCAGCCGCTGGCTCACTTCCCGCTGCAGCAGGCCCTCCAGGAGGGACTTGAGGTCAGGGGAGAAGGTGTCCGGGAGCTCCACGTTCTGGGGAGAGAACAGCGGCTCCTGGAAACAGCACCCTCACACCCGAGGCCCCTGGGTCAGGACACACGGAAAACTGCACCCGAGACGGGCAGCGCAGGGGAGGAGCCCACCAGCCAGCGGTCAGAGCCGTGGACTTGGGGGGCCCCACCTGCCCCTCTGCAGGCCCCCCCCTTTGTTGATTTCCTTGGTTTTGTACTTGACTTTCTGTAACTTTCTTCCGCTGCTTGTTTGTGAGTCGTGATTCCTGCCTTGGGTCTACCTCCATTCCTTACCTTTTAGACATTCTTCTAGGAATGTCTTCTGTCTGTTTATTTCACTCATAAAAGCCAAGTTTTGTGATTTTTGCATACTACACGCAAATACTTCAAACTGTTTGACAGAATTTGTCCATGCTTTGTATGTACTTTATACCAATCTTATTTTTAATGGTGTGGTGTCTGAGAGCCCTGATGCAGGTGAGGACAGACTCTTGAGTCCCCTCACCATGGTGAGGGTCATCGGGTCCATCTCATGCTTACCATGGTGAGGGTCATCCGGTCTATCTCATGCTTATCTTTGGTTTTATGTTGTCTGAAAGGGCTGTGGCTGTGGAGATAAAGAACATTCTATTAAAATATGGCGCCAGGTAACAGCACACCTATTGACTAACACCTGGGTAGAAGTATTTTGCCCTGATACTGTTCATTCAAAACTGCAGAAAAGCAAAGCTCATGAGCATCGTTTCCAGAAAAAACAAAAGACAAAAAACAGAATAAACCTGGTGACCAAATACTTTGGGTCCTGAAGGAGCAGGACGTCCATCCTGCTTCTGCTGCCTGAGCCTCTCTGCAGCCAAGAGAGGCACTAAATGCGCATTTTCAGTGAACACATTCAGGGGGAAAACCAGCAGGTAGTCATGAAAATGAAAGCCACCTGTGTAAATTAGTCACTGGGGTGCTTGAGACAGCCATGACTTCCGTGCAATTTTTTTCAGCTAAACAGATACTGTTTCTAAAATCACCCCAGGACCTGCAGGCCAACGGCATGATCCAGATGCCAGAGACAGGAAGCCATCCCTCTGTTGGTGACAGCCATGGACCAGCCTGCACCCCCCCCCAAGGGCTGATGACTCTGGGTGCCCGTGTTCCACCCCTGAAGAGCCCAGACCTTAGGCACAGAAGCCAGGTCCAGCTGTGACTCACTGAGCCCGAAAAACCCCTGCAGCACCCAGTCCTTCTCCTGGAAGATGGGGACCGAGCCCTGCACCCTACAGGAGGAAGAAGGGACAACTGAAGCAAGGACCTTACAAGCAGCTGGCGGGGTAGAGGAGGGCAGCCAGCACCCCCTACCAAGACTGGCCCTTGGCAGAGTTCATAGATGAGCGGGTGACACTGGGAGTCTCGTGGGGCAGGATCCCCTCACTCCGCCAAGTGCTCAAGACTCTGGAGATGCTGGTGTTGGCAGGGAAGCTCATCACTAGGTGTCGCTTCTAAACATGCAAACTGCAACAGCAGAGCCCATTTGTGTCTTTGAAAATTAAAGAAGTGACGTAGGTGAATGAGGTTCCTTGTGGCAACACCCACCTGCCGAGTGATTTACCCTATAAATCATCTGTAAGGCAGCCGGGACGTGATCTGCGGGAGGCACTGTAATGTCAACTTCACGCAAAGGATCAGAAGGCAGCTGAGCACGTAAGTCAAGGGGCTTCTTGGAAAGAATGGAAATCCCAGTCCTCCTCACGCTGCCTGTGCTACCTGTTAGCCGCTGCCCCACCCAAGCTCAGAAGTCACACAGTGACACTGAAGTCACACGGCAAACCACCTCTTGGCAAGACGAGCATGCAGCAGACGTCTCCTGCCTGCCTGCCCATGGTGATTTTCCCTTTGTGCGGGAGAGGGCACTGTGACGCCTGTGTGATTCCTTGTCACACAGTGAAAACCACAATGATGTCAACCACTTAAAAGCACTAATTTGGGGAAAAAAAAAAAGAATCAAATTAAGGCAGAGTGGCAGCGAGCAGGCATGTTTAAAACAGATTTTGATGGGAAATACTTATTTCACCTTGTTTCCAAAGAAAAAGGTGCAATTACTGAATTAAAAAGCAATTGGATACACACACAAAATACAATCTGTTATTTAGAAGATATTACACTTTTTAAAAAAAAATTGAATTTCCATCATTCTCTTTTGTATTCATAAAAATATTCACATGTTGAGAGTTCTTAAAGAAGGGAAAATAGTTATCGCATCAAGACGTCAGTCCCTGCTTGACGCTGGCCGCTCCTGCTCCAGTGTTCCCCAGCCTCTAAAAAGGGGTCCAGGGGAGAGCTCCCCGGAGCTCAGCAGGCGCCTGTTGCAGAGCGGAAGGATCCACTGTGGCGCTGCACCCTTGCCAAGGTGGGGACACCACCCCCGGCTCACAGGGGGGCTGACTGCCCTGGGACACTCTGAGGTCCCTGCCTGACCTGTCCCTGCTGCTGGGGTTTGGCCTCCCGGCTGGCTGTCCCTGCTCTCTCTGCCTCCACCCCATGACCACGGGGCAGGCGGGCTCTCTCCAGAGGTGCACCTCTCTCTGGAACTTCCTCCCCAGCCTCCAGAAAGGTGAGAAGTGAGTGTCTTTCTCACCCACCTCCCAGGCTGTGACATTCTGTCAAGGCGACCCCGCCTGCACTTGACCCTCACGCTGGAAGGAAAGGGCTGTGCCCTGACCTTGCAGAGAGGGGCTGCTGGGTTCCAACGCCGTCCCTGTGCTAAATTTAAAAGCCTTTCTTGGGACCACAGGGAGGCTCATAAGGGGACTGGAGTTCAAGGCGGCAGTGCCAGAAACACATGCCAGCACATGGCCCCGCGCTCCAGGTCCCGTTTATAAATAGAGCGACTCCCGTCTGACTCAATGGGGAGTTATCAGGGCTGCTTTTCAGCTCTTCAAGCCGCTGCTGCCAGAGTGCTGAGAAGGTTGGGGCGTTCGAGTGGAACTCTTGATGCACATCTGTTTCCAGTGCATTCTTGATTATTCTTTGTGAACAAAGCCAAAGATTTGGTTTCTATTTTGGAAAGTGTTAAAGAAAACCGACGGTAGTAATAATCTCCATTCTGAGCGGGGCACGTGGTGCTCCCGGATCCTGTGTGATCACAGCTGCTCCCTGGTGCAGGCTCTTTAAATAGGAGACAGTCACAGGCCTGCGACAGCCCCCAGCAGAGCCGAGTTCTCCCAGCACCGCGTGCCACAATCTGTCGGCAAAGGGGCCACGTGGGATTGCGCCCACAGGCACAGAGGGAGTGGGAGAGTGACCTCGTCCCCCACAGGAGCCGGGAAGTGGCGACAATGTTGAGGAAGCAGCGGGCACGTTGGCTGCAGCCACTCGTGGGCAATGGTGGGTTCAAAATCAAGACGATGAAAAACTCATGTCGAAAACTGACTTTAGAATACAGGGAGGACTGCAGGGGAAACTGGCTCTGCGGTCCAATGAAGGCACACTGGACTTGCAGCCAAAGCCTGCGGTGGCCATTCAAACAGGCAGCATGTCACATCAAACAAGCCTCGAGTCTGAGCCAAGAGCAGGCTAAGGATTTATGACCTTCCCTGTTTCCATACGTGGAACAAAACAACCCCAGGCAGGGCTCACCTCTCCCCCGGCCACTACCTAGGCCTAGGCTGAGGGATGAACAATGGGTGGTGACAAGCTGAGATGGAGGCCAGTGCCACTTCAATCTGGATGAGGCACCAGCTGACAAGTCCACAGATTGGCAACCCAGACATGTTTTCATACCCAGTGACCTTAAATATCTGACAACGTCATTGAGACACACGTAGAGACCGCCATCCAAGAATATGACCCGTGGGCTGTGACTTGTAGCACTGGCGTCCCAGGATGCAGGACCTTCCAGGCCCTGGAGGAGTCTCCACCACATCCCTCTCCAGGTGCCTACGGGACTGCTCTGAGGCACAGGCAAAGGTGGGGGCACAGAGAAGTGTCGGGGAGAAGCCACGGGACACACCAGCCAGAGACCAGCGTGAGAAGTACAAAGGCACAGGAAATAAATGTGAGAAAGACCTCTGGAGACAGGGTTTATGCTCTCTGCACAGGGGTGGGAGGAGGGAGAAGGGCTCGCTCTCGAGAAGCATTTCTTAATCAGCAGCTGAAGGCTTCCCTTCAGCTTCCCAGCAGAAGGCTCTGCTGGGAAGGGGACTGTGCTGTGCAGGTGGGTCTGCAGATGTCTCTAGGTGTGTCTCCAGGCATGTGTCCAGGTATCTCCAAGTGTGTCTCCAGGCATGTCTGCAGGTATCCCCAGATGTGTTTCCAGATGTCTCCAGGTATGTCTACAGGTGTCTAAGTATATCTCTAGGTACCTCCAGGCGTGTCTCCAGGTGTGACTGCAGGTGTTTCCAGGCAAGTCTCCAGGTGTATCTTCAGGCATATCTCTAGGCATGTCTCTAGGGGTGTGTCTAGGTGTCTCCAGTTATTTCTTCAGGCATGTCTCCAGGTGTGTCTCCAGGTGTATCCAGGCATGTCTCCGGGTATATCCCCAGGTACCTCCAGGAGTGCCTCCAGGTGTGTCTGCAGGTATCTCCAGGTGTGTCTTCAAGTGTCCCTAGTGTGTCTCCAGGCATGTCTCCAGGTGTGTCTCCAGGCACGTCTCCAGGTGTGTCTTCAAGTGTCCCTAGTGTGTCTCCAGGTACGTCTGCAGGTGTGTCTGTAGGTGTGTCTCCAGAGGTCTCCATGTAAACCCAGGTGTGTCTCCAGGCATGTCTCCAGGTGTCTCCAGGTGCGACTCCAGGTCGGCTGTGGCTGTTTCTCGAGGGTGCCAGGATGCAGAGGGGACAGGCCACCCTCAGCCAGCACTCCAGAGGCCCCTCAACCTCCTGCTCCATTGTTTCTGCTGCGTTCTCCACAGCAGGAGAGACCCGGATGCCAGAGACTGCTGCGAGGTCCCCCACGTGGGGCTGCTGCCTTGGTCTGCAGCTCAGGGGACGAAGGCCCTGTGTGCCGTCCTGCCTCCTAAGGACCCCAGCACAGGGTTTCGCTCCTGAAAGGCCTTCAGGAACCTGGGCTTACTCTGAATCTCTGAGATTCCAGATGCTGGTTTGGGTGGCAATGCCACTGTCCTCCACAGGCAAAGTGCCCACACCTGGCTCGGCACTCGCTCGCCTCACCTCTCCACGTGGCTGCCTGACCCTCCTGCTGGAAGCCTGACTGCCCGGCACTCCTATACTCAAGGTCTTCAGGGTTGGGGACCTTGGGGACCAAGGCCACACCCCAGCAAGGCATCTGAGGCTGCCAGGTCCTAACCTGGTCTTCTCACCCTGACAGGGACTCACCATGCAGGGCACCATGGGAGACAGCAGGCGCTCCTGCTCGCCCCCCATGCGGAACCTCTGCTCATCCCACCCCTGGCCGGGCTCAACCGGCCCGCTCGCACACCACCTCCCACGTGGCCTGACATGACATCGGCCACCCTGCCAAGTTGCGACAGGCCCCATTCCGTGATCCTGCGGTGGCCCCATTCTGGCTCAGTGGCCCTCCAGCCTCCCTGCCTTCCTCCTCCCCTCCCCCACCTCCCCGGGAACCGTCTCTCGTGTGTGTCAGGTACTCGATAAAAGTGCATCAAGTTTAACTCAAATCCTGGAGCCAAACACATTCCCACGCTTTGATCTCAGGGCGGTAGGTTTCTGTGGAGGACTTTGAACACATACTATGGCATGAGGTCACAGTGTCACTGGGGACACTCGCCTCGCCCTATCCTTCCTACACTGGGGCAGACCACTCCTCCAGGTGGTGGCTCAGTGCCTGATGCCCAGTCTTGTGCCAATCTTGAATTCCCTGCCCTCTGTAGTCACAGTGGGCAAAGCCCTTCAGTACCACGACCTTGGGACGGGGGTGCCACTCTCTCCCGACCCCCGACTGCCAGGTGGCCTCTCCTAGCCTTTCCCTGGAAGACAGTCCCTGCCTCGTTCACTGTTCTCCTCCTTCCCATCCTGTGACCTCCCTTGGGTGTCCCACCAGCCCAGACCCCCCACCACCTCAGGAGCCCCCCTAACAGAACACTTCCACTGAGCGCAACCAAGGGCTTCACAGGAAAGTGCATCTCTTCCCATGCGGCAGAGTTGAACTGTGGCCAAATACGATGGGACTCTCGTTATCAGCCACAACCACCCTGTTGGGTCATAAGGTCAACTCCTGTGCATCAGGCAGAGCCACAGCAGCCCCTCCCAGCCTACCCTGGGACCAGAGAAGCACGGCCCCCAGCACAAGGCCTTGCAGACTTCCCTGCTGAACCCGACGTCCACTGTCTTCTCCCACACTCTAACCTGTCGCCCACTTTCCCATCAGCCTCAAACTCCCTAGACATGGATTCTGTGTTTCCATTCCATCCCCAGCAGGGATCCAAACAAAGACTGGCATTGCCACCGCCTGCCGGCAGCTCCCCAGGGAGACAGGCTCTCCCCTGGGCAATGGCTTTCTCTGGTTTGCTTTGCATAAACTCTCTAATCAGGTCAGCTTGTCTGACGACAGGAGTTAAGCCCATCCAGGCTCCGCAAATAGGGTGATTCAATTACAGAACAACAGACCCGACTGCCTCAGCAATAACACGATTGTGGGTCCCCAGGGAACACAGTGAGCAGAGAAGGCGGCTCATCAGGTCCCAGGCCTGGGCCCGGAAGGCGGAGCTGGCATCTCTTCAGATGTGCTGAATGGAGCAAGCTGCGCCTGTGCTCACTTAGGCTGTGATGAACGGGGTCAGCCCCCTGCAGGGCCAAGGGCAAAGGACAGGTGGTAGAGGGACAGTCCTGACTAGGAAACTGTGAAGTGCTTTCTGCATCTTCAGAAATGAAGAATACAAAAAAGCTCTATTACAACTGAGCTCCAGGGCTGGGGTGTGGCTGGGGCAGGGCACTTGCCCAGCACGCGAAGCCCTGGGTTCCATCCTCAGGGCTGCAAGAAAAGAAAATAAAGTTGAATTCTCCACTAAAGTTGGCTAAAAGGTCTTTAAACATGGCAACATCAACATCGCTGTCCGACACAGGAACATCTTTGAGAGGACTTCCCTTTCAGAGTCTTTTCCATTCTATCTTATTTGTCAGTTGGAACAAGAGCTGAATATAATATTAACTATAAAAACTCAAAAATGTGTTAAGCCCTCAAGAGAACCATGAATTTACCCCATCTTCTTTAATATCTACATTTCAATACAGTTCCAGAACATGAGCTGCCAATGGAAATACTTTGAAGCAGTCTTACTTTAGGTTTCCACGCAGTGAGGCTCCTGCATGGCTTTGGACCCCTGAGCTCCCAGGAGGGCAGCCCTCAGGCTTCCAGGCCTGGGAGCCCCACGTCATCTTTCAGAGTGAGATCACTGCGTGACTCTAGACAACACCAGGGTCTCCTCGTTTCCAAATATTGTGCATTTTCTTCCTGGGCTGCTAGGTTTGATCCAACTCAGGGCCCTGGCACACCAGGCAATCACTCCACCACTGAGCCTCACCCTCTGCCCAGCGCCTTCTCCAGTTTGATCCAGGTACGTGGTGGGCGACAGTTGCACTCACCCTCTCAGGAGTTTGAAGAGCATGCAGCCCAGGGAGAACCAGTCTGCGCTGCTGTCGTAGGCTGTCCCCTTCTGCAGCACCTCGGGAGCCATGTACCCATGGGTGCCCCTGGGGAGAAGAAGGCACCAGGTTATCAGGGCACCCCCAGGATCAGACTTCTAAGGTTCATAAGAGACAGGGCTGTGACAAGACAAGGCCACCGCTGTGCATCCAGACCACGCCCAGAGCCTCTAAGGAGAAGTCCACCTTCTCTGCCTTCATTAGCAGCGTGTGAATTCATAGAAACAGTTCACACAAGCGGATATGGAAGTGGAGCCCCAGGGCCTAAGGGGTGAAATCTGAATCTCTTAGCTCTTCTCTCCTCCTGTCCTTGCTAGAGCTCTGCTCAGAGATGCAGGGGGTGCTGGAGCGGGGCTAGAGGCAGGAGGGAAAGGACCTGGCAGGTCACCAGGTCCAGTGCCCTCTCTGGGGGAGTGGGGAGGGGGTGGGAGCACAGCCCTTCCCCCCACCCCCGCCCAGTTCCCAGGTGGATGAGGCACCTTGGGCTTTAAAAGCTGCTGAAGGTTTGTAAGGCCTCCCCTCCTGCCTGCCTCCCGCCCTTCCGCCCCGGAGCTGAGCATGCGCAGCTCCACCACGAGGAGCCAGGGTCTCCAGGGAACTTATCCAGGACGCAGCTGGAAAGTCTGAAAAGCCATTACGGCACGTCCTGCAGCGCCCCCCAGACTTAACTGATCTTCCTCATCAACAGAAGGGGTGAGGAGAGAACGCCCCACTCTCCGGGTGCCGCGAGGTGCCTAGAGCAGCTCCGCATTTCCCCAGTGGGGATCTGCCTCCGCTCCAGTCCTAGTAGAATTACTTCAAATGCACTGAGGTCTGCCCAGGAAATCACCCCAGGCCAGCAAGGATCCTGGGTCATCCCTGGGCCCAGGAGGCCCTGTCTAGGGGGAACGTTTTGAAAGTCTTATGAAGACGTGACGATGGGTGGGGTTGGTTCCAGGGGCGGGTCCGGTGCAGGACCACGGAGCTGTGCAGAGCGCGAAGGAAATCTCCGCCAGGGCATCCAAACCCTTCTCTGGGAGGGTTTAATTTGAGCATTGCCTGGAAAGCTTTCCTAGTGACCTTTCAGCCCATAATTATCAGGATCAAGTCACAATCCTGGAATGGAAAGACATCTCCCAGGATAGAAAAGATGAACTAACACCCATCTCTGCCTCCCCACCCCTCAGGGCGCACTGGGTGACTTTTCCTTTGGTTTTTCGTGGCTACCCCAGTTAGATGTGATTCTGGAATAGTCTTTGATTCTGTCACTAAACAGGTGAAGTCTAAACACGGATCAGGAGGCTCCACCACAGTGCTAGTTTGTAGGTGGAGCAGCCACTAGATGACGCCCAAGGGTCACATCTGCAGCCTTGAGTGGACCTGAGAAACGGGGTTCAGGGTGGACTCTGGCCAAGGCTCTTCCACCCAGCACTAGGGAGATCTCTGCGAGCCTCAGAGCTCGCCACCACGCAGTGAGCTGGGCTGCGGCTTCAGACAGGAGAGGATTATGGTGCCAGCTCTGCAGCTTGCAGACCCATGACCTGGTCCAAGTCACCCACGTTCCCTGGCCCTTGACAAGCACAGGTGAAGAGCAGATAACAAAGCCCATTTCCTGGGGTTTCCATGATGACCCTGCATTCAAAGCCGGGCTGGTGGTGCCAGGTACGCCCTGGGTTCACCACCCTCCTCCCACTTGTCACTTCCTGGACACATTCCTTGGGCTGCAGGTTCCAGGGCAGCGTTAGGTCTGTCCCCACCAAATTGCTAGCAGCGGGCACCCAGCAAGTGTGGAATAGACACTTGTGGGGTCACTTAGTGGACTGGTTCTCACAATGGCACAAGAGGCTACTGTCACTGTCCTGTGCTTATGGAAGAGAGAAAGGAGGCTCACACGTTGTGCAGGAGAAGCTGACCGGGGCCTAGTGGCCCTGGGGCCTTTACCCCGAGTCACGAGCTGCTCCTGTGTGTGACCAGGAAGCAGTGCCTCCTGCACTGGGCTTTGTACGTGGTGGCCTCACGCTCAGCAGTTCAACAGGGAGGCCGCTCCGGCCCTGTGATGCCAACAGCCCACCCTTCTAGCTGACGAGGATGTCGGCAGAAAGTCACCAGGGCCCTGTGAAGCAGTGAAGAACCTCGCGTCTGCAAGTCAATTCTTTCGGAAGATTAACTCTTATGAACTCTTGGATTCTGTTTAGTTATGACTACAGTAAATTGAAGAAATTAGCATACCAAATAGCTGTGGCATTAAAAATTCAAATGACTCTCTTAAAAATGTCTGATGAACTCCCTGGGAGAAGCTTATACAACCGCAGGTTCTGGCCTGGTGATTGTAAGTGCTAGCAAACGCTAATGCTTTTATCACTGTACCCCAGATTCTGTGGGAGAAGAGGAATATGTTTACAGAAATGACGCCGGTCACTGTTAACACTGGGTCTGGCTGGAAAGGGCAATTTTGATTGAATGTGGCCCCTCACAAAGTAGGACGATTCAGAACCACCCACTCCTGGAGACACAAGGAGAAGGGTCTGTGGTTCCTTTTCTGCCCAGATGCCTGAAGTGAGAGGGCCAGAGCTTCCCCCATGCCATGTCACACGGATACCAGTGTTCGCTCAAGAGGGACAATAAGATGTAATTCTAAAGGATTCGGTGCTAAAAGTGAGAGAGTTTAAAAGACAAAGCAAAAGTCACCTGCTTTACTGCAAAGTGCACACATCCAGCCCCACCCCACCCCCAATGCCGAAAACCTGACACCCAAGAGGCAGAACGAAAACCCCTGTGTGTCCCACACGGTTTCCACAGAGCCCTGGGAGAGCTGGCTGGAAGGCCTGCCGTGAAATCAGGGGGTTCCAGGAGCCAGGCTGGCCAATGTCCACTGGCCAAGAGCTGCTCCGTGTCTGCTGAAGGGCCGAGGATCCCTCAGGAGTCACCTCTGTCTGGTCACGTGGAGGACTGGTGCAATATCTGGATCTAGCAATGTGACCCGTATTAAAAGCTTGAATTGTAAGTGGATGATTAGCTTCTTTAATTTCAGAAGAAATCTGATTTCTTGTGAGGGGGGAAAAAAACAGAAATACCAAAACCCAGCAAATACTTTGGAAAAAGGAGGAAAGCAGATGTGGAAAGGGAGACCTGGCCTTGGCCCCTGCCTGGAGAGCTCTGTGCGCGCAGCTGCCCGCACCCCCGTCAGCCCACGGGCTCTTCTATGTCTTAAGGGATTTACTGCTATCTCTATTCCATGGCAGAAGAGACCGAGGGTTCAGGAGGTCACTGCCTTGCTTCGGGTCACATGGCAGCATGCATCCCACCCCTTTGCAGGGCCCGCTGACCACCCATCCCCCAGCAGGCTGTTCCACTGGGGGCCTTCATGCTCCCCACACACAGAGACAGGAAGCCCACCCACTCTTATTTCTACTCCCTAAACCTGCAATACTGGATCCTCCCCTGACGCGTGTTATCACATCGTGAAAATCAGGGCTGGTGAGGGCACAGGGGGCACCAGTGGCCAAGCCAGCGTCCCACAGAACCGCGAGTCACAGCGGAGGAAGGCCCCGGGCTTGGTGGGTGTGCTACTTACACACTCGCATGAGGCTTCTTTTTTGAGAAATCACAGGCGAGACCAAGATCTGATATCCTCACGTGTCCGTGTTCGTCCAGGAGGATATTTGCAGGCTGAACGGAAACAGAAGATGAGCTTCAGGAGTCCCCAGAACGTTCCAGGGTATGGGGACATCTACAAGCTCACACACTCTGCATCTTACCACTTTTATCGTAGTGAATCTGTAATCACGAGTGACAGCTTTAAATTATCACATCAGAGTAGGGCAGGACCCAGGGTGACACTGTTCACCCTGACTTTGGCAGGAAGTGGCAGGGGGAGAGCGGGAGGGTTCTGCTCCCTGGGATCAGACACGGGGCAGTAACCCCAAAGGTCCCCACCACAGTTCAGTAGCGCCCAGCAACGGCAGGGCAGCCAGGGTGGGGCCTCCAGCCAACAGGGACCCGGGCTGCTGGCCTCCTGGCTGACATGAGACACAGGACCTCAGAAAATGAGTCCTGGTAGCACAGGACAGAAAGGAACCCCAGCCAGTGGAAGACACTGACCCACGACAGCCAGGCACTCCATGGTGCCACACTAATCCCCATAAATGTCATCTGTTTATTTGTACACCATTAACCAAGGGCCCTACCAAATGACCAAATATGATTCCACCCACAACTCTGAGAAATGCATCTATTAAGATTAGATTTGGCCAGTCTAATCACGGAAAACCAAGTTCCCTTCCCTAATATACATTGAATTACAGTCTCCCTAATGACATTTTTTTTTTCTGCCGGAGATCAACTATTGTTTTGCTTGAAATAAAAATAATGGCATGTTATTGTAAAACCAAAGCATGAATAATCATGAGTGACTTGAATTAAGTTTGAATAGAAATTAAATAATGCCACTGCTTACTAAATAGCTTAGAAAACGAAAAATACAGCATCAAGATGACTAGAAACCGGTTATAGATTTAAATTAAAATGTATGATAATGGCACCTCATGGGCCTCCATCATGTATTTTATTCTGTGAAGCTCACATAAAGGAATGTCATGAGCCAAGCAATGTCTAATTATTTCTAATTCAATAAAATACATTTTTTTCTTTATGCTCACACGAACACTAAGGGAATAATTCTTCAACCTTGAAGAAAGCTTTGAAATTCACAAAGTGTTTTGTGGAAAACATGCTGTGCTCAAAAACAACAGTGTTTTAGATTTGTAGCAGGCCCGCCCTGTCCTTACCCCCAGGTCCCTCTACACCACACCTGGCTGTGCAGGTTCACGCTAATAACGCCCCACACCTGAGACCGCCAACCAACGCCTCAGCTCCTTAGGGAGACGCAGGTGACATGGACGCTACAACCGGCCACTGTGGCCCTTGGGAAGGGATCTGGCATGAGAGTCAAGCTCTCCCTCGTGCATCTCCTCATCCATCAGCAAAGGGCTCTCCTGTCCATTTTCGCCCCATTATTAGCTACACATTTAGATGTTCGCCTGAGCGTGTCTACGGTCTGCCATGGTCCCTCTGGTCTCCACCTGTCCTCAGGCCCTTTCCATTACAGCTGGATGAGCATCACCTGGATGTCGTGAGCAACCTCCTGACCCCCTGCTCCACGCAGAACCCAGGACCACGCCCACAGCCTGGAGTGGCGCACTCAGAATCAGCCAACCTCGTGATTTTTAATGCCTGGGCTGAGAACAGAGATCCCTGTGGTTATGGGCTTCAGGGATCTAAACTCCTATTGAGGATTTCGAAGGCGAGATCAGAACAAGGCAATGTGGGAAGGCTGGCCTCGGGGAGTTGTTGCAGGGGGGGCCGGGAGCCAGCCTCCCCAGCCAATGCTGCCCAGAGGAGCCAGGATCTGCCTTTGGCTTTGTGCACTTCCAACTCTGACAGGGCTGGGGCCAAACCGGCTGCCCAGTAAGTCAATGAGTGAACTATAATGGATCACAAAGTGGGCAGTACCAAAAAACCACCTACCCTACTTTTCATTATTAATTGCGATACATATAGTAATTAACAAGTTATATATATATATATTATAAACACATTTACGTACATACATATATATGTATGTGTATTTACCAGGGATCAAACTCAGGGGCACTCACCACTGAGCCCCATCCCCAGCCCTATTTTGGGTTTTATTTAGAGACAGGGTCTCCCTGAGTTGCTTAGCGCCTCACTGTGGCTGAGGCTGGCTTTGAACTCACGATCCTCCTGCCTCGGCCTCCCGAGCCGCTGGGATGACAGGTGTCCGCCACTGCACCCAGCTAATTGCTTTCTGTTCTTGACTTAGTGTCTGCGCTGCACTGGGCACTGAGGTTCCTGTGACTACAGGGCTGGCCAGGGGTTCCGGCCCTGCAGAGTCTGGTCTGGGAGGGACTGACATCACAGAGATGGGGCTGTGAAGAAAGGGCCCTGCCCCTCTGGGAGACAATGGGACCGCTCAGGGACACGGGCTCAACACCTGTGCCCACCACGCTGCAGGGGCTGGTGCCCTGTCCTCACCTTCAGGTCCCTGTACACGACGAACCGGCTGTGCATGTGCTCCAGCCCCAGGATGATTTCCGTGGCGTAGAAGCGCATCTCCTTCTCAGAGAACACCCCGTGCTGGGAAAGGTGATAGTGCAGGTCGCCTCCTGGAACCAGATGGAGAAGCTCATTCACAGCACGTTGTTAAAGCAAAACAGAGTCACTGTCACCCTAAATAGTCATCGCCCAGCAGAACGGGGCCAGGGCTTGGTCTACACACATACCTCTGATTTCAGTAGACTGGCTAAAGGTTTAGAGGAAGTTAAGCGACGAGAAGATTGAGGAGGTAGGGAGGGGCTTCCTTGAGCTGGAAGCTCAGCTCCCAATTACACCATCCAGGGGGACCAGCCAACCTGCCCTGATCCCCTGAAATCCTGTCCAGGAACCAAATCCACCTACATACAGATCCCAAGATGGCCCCGTGATCATCCGCCTCCGTAGACAAACAGAAGATACAAACTGTTCACCTAGAGGAGTTGTTTGGTCTGTGCGGGGGAGTGAGCCCAGGGTGCTCTACCTCTGAGCTAGGTTTATTTTGAGGCAGGGTCTCGCTAAGTTGCTGAGGCTAGACTTGAACTTGTGATCCTCCGGCCTCAGCCTCTTGAGTCACTGAGTTGACAGGCATGGGCCACCCACCCAGCCTAGAGAGAGATTTGATAAAGCAAATACAGTAAAATTTTTAAGGCAAACTCCAGGTGGTGGGGATTGGAGTGTCCCTGGCGATATTCTTCAACTCTGCTGCATGTTTGAAGATTTTCTTAATGCCACATTGGGAAAAGGACTCCTCCTGCAGCTTCTTGTTAAAGGGACACAGTGTCACCAACAGTCAGGGGTGTTTCTACAAACCACAGAGAAAGCCTTATTCATTTATAAAAGCTAATGTGTGTCCAACCTTTTTGATCACCTTTTTACAAGATTCTTCCTCCCCACAGGCGCGCTACTGCTCAGCTGCCACCAGATCAAAATGTGAGGATCCCCACTGTCCTAAGGCCCCCAAGCCCTGCAGTCAGTGTGTGGGCCCTGGCCCCTGGCAGCTCTTCTGCCCATCACTGTCCACTGGCTGCCTGCTCTGACCCTCATGTCCACAGGGTCATGTGGGATACATCTCTGGCATTTTGGGTTGGTTATCCTGTCTGTGAATTCCTTTGTATTTTTTTAAGAATTCTTTTTTTATTTTATTTTATATATCTTTATTTTTATTTATTTTTTTTATATGGCATTGAGGATCTAACTCAGCGCCCCAGGTGAGTGCACTACCGCTTGAGCCACATCCTCAGCCCCTCCTTTGTATTTTTGGATAGATCTGGTTTTCAATCAAACATTTGGAATATAGTAAAACCAACCGGGTGCAGTGGCGCACACCTTTCTTCCCAGCGGCTTGGGAGGCTGAGGCAGGAGGATCGCAAGTTCAAGGCCAGACTCAGCAACTTATCGAGGCCCTAAGCAACTCAGCAAGACCCTGTCTCTAAATAAAATACAAAAAAGGGCTGGGGATGTGGCTCAGTGGTTGAGTGACCCTGGGTTCATCCCCTGGTTCCAAAAAAGTAAGTAAAAGAGAATAGAGTAAAACTTTAAGGGAACATCAGAACAGAAGCAGGCATCTGCACATTACAATGGCAGCCTTCTCGTTTCTACTCTTGTTACTAAACCACTTTGCATCTTCACCAGGCCATCTATTCCCTTAGAAAGTGGCTTTTCCAGCTAAATGGAATTTGGCTTTCTCAGGATCCGGCTCATGGTTTAGCGGAGGGCGGGAGAGCTGCGGATCCAGGAGGCAGGGAGCTTGGTCCACACTCCCCGCTGGCCCCAGGGGTCCTTCGTTGCTGGTGTCTGTGCCTAGGCCTATCTTGAGCTTGTGCTCTTGTGAGGTATTTCATCCCTAAGACACAAGGGACGAGGGCCGGGAACTGAGCTAATTAAAGCCCGGGGCCAGCTGCATTCCAGAAGGTAAAAAGTCACAGCCAGCATTTCATGAGAATATCTTCTAGCAAAATCCCACTTCCCAGGGAGAGCCTGGCAGGCCCGAGGGAAATCACAGTCCACGGTGTAAAATGGATTTTAGCTGAAAACCGAGGGGTGGAGGCTGTTGGAGCCCCCCGGGGGTGGGGGTGGACCCTGCCAGCCGCCAGCTGCTTGGACAGGGGTGCCGCCTGAGCCTGGACAGGGCGGAGCTCCGCGCTCACCGTTCATGAGGTCGAGGATGAAGCAGAGCTTATCCGGGGTGTGGAAGGCGTAGGTCATGCACACGATGAAAGGGCAGTCCTGCGGGAGAGCACAGGCTGGTGAGCAGAGCATGGCCGGTCCACCGCCCACCCCGGCCCCAGAGGGGAGGTCAGCGAAGGCCCAGGAGAGACGCAGCTGGAGCCCCACCCACCCAGGGGACCCAAGCCTCCTGCGCCCCCAGTGCGCTCCCAATGCGCCCCCAGTGCGCTCCCAGCGCGCCATGACCACGCTGATCACACCCTCGTCAAAGTCCGGAGTCTGCAGAGAAAAAAACATCTGCCCTTCCAGCCGCCACTGTGCTGGTCAGTGTTTAGGTTCCCATCACTCCAGCCCCCCCCCCCCATCCACCTCTGCTTCTACAATTGGAGAAGTGTCTGACAGGAAGGAATGGCGTCGGTGCTACTGTTCAGAATCACTGAGAATAAAACAGAGCGCTTCTGAATGTGGAAAAATAGACTGTGGTCAGGGACGGGATCGCTCAACTGGAAACACATTCAACTCTCCCCTAATGAATCTGTGGATTCCAGGTGACCTTGATCCCGAGAACCCTGACAAGCTGATTCCAAAATCTATGGAAACATAAACTGTCAAGAAAAGTCCAGACACTTGAAAAACAGCAGAGCTGGGAAGTGGCAGTGCAGAGGTCAAGGCCTGATGAAGCACCAGGAATTCAGCCAGGGTGGCACTGCCCAAGGACAAGGAGACCAGTAGAGCAGAGCAGAATCCTCAAGAGGACCCACCCAGAGATGGTCATGTGGGTCCTGATCAAGGTGACTCAAAGGGGCAGGACGAAGGCTGGCCTTTTCAGGGGTGGTGCTGGGGCAGCTGAAATCTGTGCAGGCTGTGTCCCCCCCCCCACCTCACACCACACTCTAACTCCACCCGCCGCCCCCTCCCCCAATGTCAGTCTACATGGGAAAGATAAGGCAAAAAGCTTCTTCAAGAAAACACAGGGCATCTTGATGATCCTGGGTAAAGATTTCTTAGGCCACAAAAAGTGCTAACAGTGAAAATATCAATAAGCTGCACTTGTCATAAAATTAGGAGCTTCTGTGCATCAGAACACCCCACGAGAAAAGAGCCAAGCCACAGAATGGGAGAAGACCCTGGTAAATATGCACGTGCACCAGAGACCCATGTCTAGAATACATAAAGCACTCTTAGTAATCAATCAAGAGAAAGACAAAACATTCAAAAGAAAAATGGCAAAAATACTATGTAATTAATTAGGCATTTCACATTAGAGAGTACTAAATGTCCCCAAGCCTCTGCATAGACACTGACTCTGGGGACTCTCCAGGGAAATTCAAATTAAAACCATATGCTAGCACCAAACCCCACAGGAAGCACTAAACATAATGAGCAAGCGTGACAGGTGTCGGGAAGGTACGGAGCGAGTGGGATTTCCACACCGGCTGCTTGGAGTGCAGAATCAGAAGGTGGCTTCGGTATTTATCAAGGCTGAGCATCACCTGCAAATGTCCTGACCAGGTGATTCCACTCCAAAGTAGACACTTGGAGCAATCTGCACTTAGATGCACCAAGTCACCTGCCCAAGAATGTTCCATACAGCGCTCCTCAAATATCCAGGCCAGGAAATGCCTCAGATGTCTATCAGCACAGAATGGATGAGTCAGGGTGGTATCTTCGTGCAGCAGAGCGCTGTGGAGCAAGGGTCGCAGATATTTTCTGCAGAGGGCTGGACAGTTAATATTTTAGGGTGAGCAGGTCACACATAGTCTCTGTCATCGTATTCTTCTGGCATGTGACACAGACACGTCTCACACGTGACACTGAGTGAGAGAACCACACACAGAGGGGCACATTTTTTGTAAAGTTCACACAGCATCAACAGAGCTGAGTCATAGTGTTGGAGATCTGGAAGGCAGTGAACTTGGGCGTGGGGTCAGGGACTGGCAGAGCGGCGAGGAGGCGTCTGGAACACAGGTGACCTCTCTCCTGTCCTGGGTGCTGGACACGCAACTCGTGTTTTCTCGGGAAAGCACGCCAGTGCTCCCTAGATCTATCCAGATCCTTGGTATACAGCGTGTAATCACTCCTGAAGTGATTTGAATTTTAAATGGCAGAGACTATTTATAGCCACTTTCTTAACAGATACAGCATATTATTAAATTCCAAAGGAAATGTTCGAGTTCCCACAAAATAATTGGTAAACAGAATTTGCACTGTGAAGACCTCGACAGAAGGGCATTTGGGTAAGTTTGAGTTATCACATTCCTGGGTGCTTAAGACTCGGGCACTTGAGCTCAATTTCCATAAATGTTCCGGAGAAAACTACTCCAGGGTGGACTGGGAAGTTCACTCTGTGTTGGCCCAGTTTCCCCAGAGTTCTGTTGAGAGGGTGTCGGTCTTCTGGTTTCAAGACTTCTTCCACGCTAGGTAGAGTTGTCTCTCTGTGGGAACCCCGGGGGCCTTTCTGCGGCCTGTCCTACCTAGAGCCCACCTCTGTCCCTCCATACCTTTCCACGGCCTCCTGCAGACGGCTGCCCTGCTACGTCAGGTATCGCACTTCCTGCTCCCAGGGATGCCCACGCGCCCTGGCTCTGCTCTCACAGCAATCCAACTGCAGAGCAGGCAAGTGGGGGACCCAGTCACCAGCTGGGAACTGCACCCCTGTCACCAGGAGGACACGTGGGCTTTCCGGGGGGGAATTCTCCACCTGGTGGCATATGGTCCCTCCAATGCAGGGCCTGAGACAAGGGCAGAAGGTCAAAGTCTCCTGAAGAGTGACTAAGATGGGCGTGAATTTTAGAGCTAGAAGCCGAAGCCACTGGCCTAGGAAGGAGTCTCTAAACAACACCTTGTCTGATGCCTTTATTTTAAAGACAGGGAGCCAGGGCCCCTAAGGGGCAGAGGACTTGCCTGAGGTCAGAGAAACTTGACGGCCAGCCAGGGTGCCAGCCCCCTACAGAGCTCCCCCGAGCCCCCCTTCCAACCAGCCCTCAGCCTGGACCTTCCCAGACTCGGCCAAACTCCAACACAGTCACCCAAGAGCACATCCCTGGGCCGCCCTCTGCCCTCACGTGCCTCCTGGGGACCCGAGGCTGCCGTGTCCACCCGTCACTGCCCCCAAGCCCTGGGCTGTAGGCCTCAGTTCTCACCACTCGTCCCAATGAGCTACCTTTCCAAGACACCTGAAAAGTGTCACCTCCCCTCTGACGCAGTATAAGGGCAAAGAAAAAAACAAGTCAGGTTTTAGGAGCCTCAAGCAGCGGTGCCAGCCCTCTGGGGTTCTGGGGGTGCAGCGGCGGGGCTTCCCGGGAGCCCACAAGGCTCCTCCATGAATTGGCTGCACAACTGCAGGTGCGTCGCCTGGTTCTCAAACACGCATTTCCTTCCTCCCATGGGAACAGGGAGAAGCAAACTGGAAGGTTGATTCCCAACCCTCGTGAGGGGGAGGAGGGGGGCTGTGCTCATGCAAAACGGGGGAGCAGAGGGGGAACCAAACCCAAGGGCAAATGGCACGTGCCAACGGAGCACAGGCCCCACCAGGGCACCCTGGGCACAGCTGCCCAGGGCTCTGCCCCACAGGGTGGATTTCAGCTGAGCATTACCAAAAGTTCACAAAAGAGGCCTCTGACTGTGGAAATCCGATCCCCTCTGGCTTTACTCGGACTCTGAAGGTGACATCATATCTTTATAAATTCAAAAAAACAGCGATAGAGCTTAATATTTGAATAAAAATATAAATAATTCTTTTGAATTAGCTCAAAGCAGCGGCCCCATATAACCCCATTTTTAAATTGATTCCCTTAAGGTCAGATCAGGGAGGAATCAAACCACTTTTTAACCAGATCCGCCCTCATCTGAATATAATGAATATTAAAATGCTACATGAACAGCGTCCTTCACGTCTCTCCAACATCAAAACGTCTCCGCAGAGGCTTCCTGGAGAATAAATATCCCTGGCTTGGAGATAGCTCATTAAAAACGAGGATTTTCATAACTGCTGAAAATCTGCAGCGGCTGTGTGCACGTTGGAAACTTAAGACACAGATAAGGCCCACAGCAACCGGGAGCTCGTGCCGCACACACCCACCCAGTGGGGTGCTCACACACACCAGGTGAGTCTGATTGACACCCCTATATTGGAAGAGAGGAGCAGGAGGTGAGGGGCTGCTGTGGGCCACGGAGCTCTGGTGGCGACGGTTCAGCTGGACCCGGCTGCTCCTTGGCTCCAGGAACAGGCCTTCTAGAGCACTTGACGCTCTTGCTGGAAGAATGGGACCCACCATGCAGTCAGCCCAGGCCATAAGCAAAGGCCTTTCACCCACAAAGCGCTGGTAGGAAGGAAGCGCTGGTAGGAAGGAAGCGCTGGTAGGAAGGAAGCGCTGGCCCAGCGTCCAGAGCCTTCAGGCAAAGAAACGAAGCCCCCTGGGTCTCAGGTTCATGGCTCGCTGGGTGAAGGGGATTCTTTGATCAGCCACTAAAGTCTGACTCTTCCACATCCTTCAGGAGAGGCTGCCTGGGCATGAAATCCAGTGACACCCAGAAGCCCCCACGTGTCCCTGATATACACCCACTGGCTGGGCTGGGTGTCCGACATTAACTTCACGGGTGGGCTACACAGAGGACTCGGCCTACGCCCTCTGCCCTGCTCCCCTCCTCACAGCCAGGTGCCAGGCTAGTGGGCATGTGCACACACAGGCTGCCGAGGAGGCCTTGCTGGACGTGTCCTCGGACACGGTGGCGTCTTTACACAGAAATCAAAGCAAAAGGTGGGGGAGTGTCGTCTGTGTTGGTTTCTTTGCGCTGTGATGGGGGCCAGGGCCTGCACGTCCAGACAAGTCCTCCACCACTGAGGGCACCCGGCCTCAAAGCCAAGGTTTCATTTTATTTATTTATGTATGCATGTATGTATGTTCTGGGGATTGAACCTAGAGGTGCTAAACCACTGAGCCACATCCCCAGCCTTTTTTCCTTCTTTCTTTATTTACTTTTCTAAATTCGAGACAGGGTCTCCCTAAGTTGCTTAAGGCCTCATTCAGTTGCTGAGGCTGGTCCCAAACTTGTGATCCTCCTGCCTCAGCCTCCCAAGCCACTGGGATTACAGGCCTGCGCCACCGAGCGCACCTGGCAAAGCCAAGGTTTTGATGGATGTCAACACAGTTCACACAAAGCCATCAGAATAGGAAGCTGCTTTGGAAATAAAGAGGACACTGGGTGAGAGGTCACTGGGTGAGAGGTCATTTCCGCTAGTGCTACGGCAAAAATGAGCCTGGCATATTAACAGAATGTGAAACGGGGGAGAGTGCTGTGAGGTGGACATGCCCATGGCCCTGGCAGTGAAGCAGCCAGCTGTGGGGGAGATGAACTCACCTCTGGAGGCATCGCTGCAGCCCAGGGCCCACCCAGAGGACCCTCAGGCTCCGCCAGCCCCCATCGCGCCCTCTGATTTGCTGGTGGAGGTGGGAGCCCCTCCCTATATTCAAGTGATTTTTTTCTTTCACGATTATTCTCCACCATCTTAGCTCCTCTCCTCTGCGACGCAGGAAATCAAGGGCACATGAACAGGTGGCACCGTGAGGTGTCCCGTGAGCTCTGGGAAGTCTGTCACCCCTCCTGACTGCCCCGCTCGGGACCCCCCCAGGCCTCATCCCGCCCCATGATCAGACAGAGGAGACAAGTTGTCCTGACCCAGGACAGACAGACAGATGTTGAGGCAACCCGGGACGAGGGACACTTACTCCTGTACTGACGAGGGACAGCATGATCCGCTCATTCAGGGCCAGCGTCTCTCCTTGCTTCATCTTGATGCGCTTCTTATCCAGGCATTTCATGGCGTACCTGGAAACACAGACCCTGCGTCACCACCCGTCAGGCCGCGGAGACTTCTGAAGACCTGGGCGACGTGTATGAGGAGGAGGGGAAACAGCCCAGTGTCCCAAGAGGACCCTTAACTCTGCATGTGGGGCGGGGGATCCAGCAAGACATGCCATCGCCCCAGGGACAGAAGTCCCCGCTAACTAATGCATAAAGTAGACGAATAGGAATAAAGTTTGTGCGTTGCTCCCCCCTACTATGGGGCAAGGCTGGCGGTGTGCGTGTGGTGTGTCACCAGGCAGGAATTATGAATTCATCAGTGTCCAGGTTTGGGGGGGAGGGGCAAGGGTTTTGGGGATTGAACTCAGGGGCCATCGACCCCTGACCCCTGACCCCATCCCCAGCCCTATTCTGTATTTTATTTAGAGACAGGGTCTCATGGAGCTGCTCAGGGCCTTGATAAGTTGCTGAGGCTGGTTTTGTGTTCCTCCTGCCTCAGCCTCCTGAGCCACTGGGATGACAGGCCTGTGCCACCTCGCCCAGCCCAGTGCTCTGGCCCTGGCTCGGCTCCACCTGGCCCAAAGCTCCCATGTGCACCCTCCTAGGCCAACGTGTGCCACCCTCCTAGGCCAACGTGTGCCACTCTTTGCTCTCAGAAACATGCTCCTGTCTGATGACAAACCTTCCCCACCCTTCACTCCCCCAGGCCCTTCTGCTGGCTCGCACGCCCTCCCCACGGACAAGGTTCTGAGGGGACGGAGGGAGCACCGATTGCTGCCCATCCTCAGCAGGGCTTCCCCCCCTCCACCCTAAACTGCCCAGCCACCGTGGCTCTTGACGCGATGTGCCACCCCACACTGGGTCTCTCACTATGCCCCGACAGGGGACTAAGGACAGCGGCTCCTTCTCCATCTGGGTCCTGCTCGTCTTTCCGGGCCTGACCCCTGGGGGGCGCTCTGCGTGTCCCACGAGCCCCAGGGAGGGGTGGTCAGGCTTCCTGTTCTCCTTCTAGCTGCTCAACAAGGTACAACCTGGCTCCTCTGCCATCCATCACTTCAGGAACGGGATCATGGCGTCCCTATTTCTA